TGTGTAATTTTTTAGGGCCGGCGCTGTAATCTAATGCATTTATATTCTTGTACACAATGTTGAAAGATTATTTAATAGCGATCAGCATGTTAAGTTTCTCTCTTGGTTTCTCCTGTGCGGTTTTGGCTAGTGTGATACTTTCTTTTCTGCGCTATGGCTTTATTTCATTCCCCTTTCCCCCTTTGTGTGTTTGATTTTGTGGTGGTGTGTGTTGGGGGTTTGTTGTGTTTGATTTTGTGCTCCAATATCATATGTATGGTTTGCACCAACTTACAAGGTATTGTCCATTTTGACTCATTGACTTGGACAAAAGGTGCCTCATATATTGAAGATGAAGTGAACTCTCAAAAGCTCAATCTCATTTTAATACGTAATTGATGTGAGATTTATGATTCTCTTTAAAATTATGATGTCTTTTCTTGACGCGGGATTCATGGCTTCCTGTAAGGACCAAGACATCTTTTGCGATATGGGATTAATGGCTTCTCTTTGGGATCGTGGCATTTTCCTTCAATTCAATAAGAGATTATTGTCTTCAATGACACATCGTTAGTACTTTCAAAGTCGACCTTAGTATCATGTGTCACGAATTAAACTTTTTTCTCAAATTTGTTATAGCTCATGTGACACTTGGGACGATGCTTCCACACAAGTTAGAATTCCCTTGTATCTGAGCAAGCAGACAATATAGTCACAACGTAAGTAGCATTCGGTACTTTATAATGTAATGTGATTACAAATAATGTGATTGTAGGGAAAATAACATTACAGTGTTTGGTATACAAGTAAAATAATGATTAAAATACAAAAAAAATAATATTGCAGCGTTCGGTTTACAAGTACTTTGCTGGAAATGTAATGTTAATTTTCAAAATTACCCATAGTTATTAAAATACAAGTTTAATATATTTATATTTTTTATTATTAATTTTTATATAATATCATCTCTTAAATATATTTTTAATGTCATATATTTTATTTTTATTTATTATTATAATCTTATATATTTTATTTTTATTTTTTTAATATATTTTTTATATTATATATTTTATTTTAATTTGTTTTACCTATATTATATAAATTTTAATTTTTTATTTTTTATTCTTATATTATATATTTTATTTTAATATTTTTTATTTTAATTATAACATTATAAAATACTTTTAATAAAGTAATAAAGTTAAAGAGTAAAATTGTCTTTAAAAACATTGTAGAGTGTAATATAATGTGATTGCATTGGTTTTGGACTGCAATCACATTACATCCTTTGGCTGTAATGTGATTGCATTACAATCTTATATTGCAGTGGTCTGTTGCAAAACAAACACTGTAATGTAATTTAATTAGACGCATTACAGGAAATATGCTCTCACTTCTCTCATACCAAATGCTACTTTAGTTCAAGAAAATAACAAATTCATAAAGCATAACGAACATTATATACACAGCCACTATTCTCACTAAAAAGGAAAAATGTTTTATTAAAAGTAAAATTATTTGAATTACAGATGCCATCATGCCATCATTAAGCCATAGGATTGACCCTAGATGGTCAGCTTAACATATACCTTAACCAGTAAGTCGAACTGTCAATATGGGTTGGCCCGACCTAGCCCAACCCTAGCCTTTGTGGGTTAAAAAAATATGGGTTGGGCCGGGTCAGCCCATTTTTTATATGGGTCATCAAAACCTCAACCCAACCCACCCCTTGTTAGCTTATGGGCTGGGTTGGGCCATCCTATTTTTATTTTTTTAAAAAAAAATTAATTTTTATATTTTTACTTGATAAATTTTTTATTAATAAAAATGTTCTATGATTTAATTCATAAATTGAATAATAAAAACATATTACAAATAAACAAATTACACCAAATATAAAAAAATAAATAAATTACATAATAAAGTTTAAATCTTTAACACAAACTACTATCTCATAAACATAAGTATATAACCAAATAATAAAAATTTCAAGACTCATTTATATCCTCCTCAATCTTCATTCTCAAGTAAAATATTTAAATCTTGTTTAGATAGCAATGATGTCTCAATGTCTAAACTATTATCAATTTATCATCTAATATTCATTACCATAAAAGAAAAAAAGATAATAAGTTTTAATCTAAATTAAAAATTTTAATTTGATAAGTGCAGATTAAAGACATTGAAATATATAAAATAAACAATACTATTGGTAACTAAATTATTAATTTTTTATAATTAAATTAATTAAAATTATTTTTTTTACCCATAGGGCTGACCCTGCCCCAGCCCACATCAACCCATTGATTTGGTGGGCTGGCCCATTTAGGCCCGATTTAAATATGGGTCAAAATTTTTTAACCCAACCCACCCATATTTAATAAAAAATGGGCCGGGCCCATTTGACAAGTCTACCAGTAAGGCAACCTAACATTCTGCTCACTACTTTTAAAGAGTTAATGAACTTTTAAAAAAATCTTTTTAAGAATCGTTACATTTTTTGCCATCAGTTACATTAGATATATTGCTAGTACGGTGAAGTTGCCAGATCCAATTATGAATTGCACCAAGTTCATCAAGATCAAGTCTTCTCCCAGATGCAATTTCTAAGGTAACCATTCCAAAGCTATACATGTCTCCTTTTTTGCTAGCCCTAGGTTGCTTCAAATATTCTAGTGGTTGGTAACCAGGAGTTCTTGGCACTATAAATGTCTGACTCATCCTCAAGCCCACGAGCTTTGCAATTCCAAATCACCAAGCTTGGTACTGAAATATTTGTCTAGCAATATGTTTTCCAACTTGATATCTCTATCGATGACACACTTTTACCCCTTCATGAAGATACTAAATGGTCGAGACCAAGTTTTTAGCGACACTATACCAAATATACCAAGAGTGGTTTCATTTCCATGAAGATGACGTTCAAGGTTGCTGTTAGGCATGTATTCATAAACAAGAAAGAATTCATTTTCCCCAAGACACCAACCAATGAACTTCACCACGTTTTTATGTATTAGACACTTTATAACCCTCAATTCATTGTTGAACTCACACTCGAACTCAGCAAATATTTTTTTTACAATGCCTAGTTTTTTACCCAAAGTTCCTTTATTAACACTTGTGGACCAGCCTTCACCCAACCTTCTATCTGTTAATATATGCCTTCAAGCCAATTGGGTTGGTCAAGGAATATAAACTGCCACTAAATATATACTTAATCGTACAACTATATGTGATAGAGGTTTTCCTTCATGTTAGTACAATAATGAGCTATTTTTTTTTGAAAGATGAGTTTTTATTAATGATAAGTTGGAATGCCATAGGGAGTCTTCAACGTTGAGATTTGGAGACTCCTGTTGGCATGAAAACTATCTTGAGAAGAGCCTGTTCTGTACAATTACAAAAGGAGCAGCTGCTCAAGGAGCACTTGGTAGCATCTTAAACGGCCGACACAAAATCCAAACGACCAAACCCAACCTGACATTCAGCCCCTATGCGTCCCACGTACAGCTATGAACCTAGAAAGATTTACTAGAGACTATTTGGGGTTGACAGTCCTCAATCATCACAGAACCAGCCACCAAGGTCTTAC